CCACATATGTGTGCCACATATGTGTGGTGTGTGGAGAGGCCAGAAGATGGTATCAGATCTCCTGAAACTGGAGCTACAGGGGACTGTGAGTGGCTCACATGGGTGCTGGGAACTAAACTCTACCCATCCATGAGGGGAGCAAGCATGGCTCCAGCCCCTCTGGTTACATGATGCAAAGAGGAGCTAATGAGAAGCAGAGCAGAGGGCCCTTTCCTGAGCTAAGGAACAGCATGTTGATAGGAAGGCCTTGGTGCTCTCACGCCAGGAATGAATAGGACCCAAATCCTAAAGGTCACAATGGAGAAGTCTGGTGACACTGCTTCCTCCCCAGGAGGCGCCATGACCATTGGGGCATTTTCTTCCATGATGTACAGGAATTCATGTGACTCAGACAGAGCCAGTTCTGGACAGAAGTTATCAGAGTTCAGCTATGCAATCCTCCATAGCCTCTGCCTCAGCACCGACATTTGGTTTCATTTTCAGAGGACCTCTCTCTACAGCACCCTACTCCTGAAACATGAGCAGTGACTGCTGCCTCCTGCCCAAGATAATCTGTAGAGAGGATATCATGAGCACATCTCAGGCAAGTGTGTCCGCTGATGCTTCCTAGCTCTGTGACCTGTTGGCTGAAGGTTCTCATTAACCACAGTGTTGGTCCAGAACTCAGGATTCCACTTCTCTGAACCAGAATGGTCAGATCACTGGTCTACCCTTCAAATTACAGGCCCGAAGTATACACACTGTTCAGTTTTCCCCAGCACTGGCGGTTGAACACTAAATGTCCCCCATGGGCTCATGTGTTTGAACACCTGGTTCTCAGCTGATGTCACTGTTTGAGAGGGTTGGGAGGTGGAGCCTCGCTGAAGGTCAGTGGGGTCAGGCTTTGAGGTTAGCTTTCTGCTTCTGGAGCGTGAATGCAATGTGGCCAGACAGTTTCCTGACTGCCATTACACCTTCTGCATTATGATGGAGTGTATCTCCTCAGACTCTAAGTCATGACAAAGACTCCTTTCCCTAAATTGCTTTTTGACAGGCATTTGGTCACAGCGATGAGAAGAGTGATGAGTACAGCCAGTAAGTTAAAGTGGGCTCCTGAGCAGGACTGAATGGACCCTGACAATATCAGCAGCCACAGCTCCCCATACTGGGCCCTTAGAGGCCATAATTCCACAGAGTACCCTCTACCTTCTTAGAGATACATTAGAGAAATCCATATCTATACATACCCAGGCTAACCTTGGATACACCAGTCATGAGAACACAGTGGGTTTTTTTTCTGAAACATTGGGGAAACAAGTAAAAACTTGGCATCACAAAGCTCTAAAGATGTTGCCAATGAGGTCGGATTCCATCAGGTCACAAGGAGTCCTGAGGCAGAGGCTTGGGAAGCTGATGGTATTTGAACTTGTACAGCACTGTATGCCCTCCCTCTGGGGGGTTGGGAGGGTCCCATGATGTCAACACACAAGGTGAGTTGCCAAGAAGAGAACTGGCAAAGAAAATATAATATCTACACTCTAAGCTTTCAAGGTGAACTCTCCCATTGTGAGCAGAGGAAGACAGAGCTCCCCGCCAACTGATCACTTACACATCAGCCTATCTGGAGAATGTTTGGGGCAAAACAAACTAGAAATCCCCTCCAGGGAAGCATGCACTCCTCCTTGGATGGGCACCATGATGTACCTCGGGCTTTTCTCCTTACCTTTCCAATGCCTTCATCCTGTGGGGCACCGCCTACCACATCAGTGACAGATGGGTGAGAGAAATGGCCGGCAGTCACTGCATAGCCTGAACAAGGATGGATAGAAAGCAAAGACATACTTGAGGAAGGAGGTCATATAAGAAAATATATGCAACCGAAGAAAGCATTTCCTAGGTAGGTATCTAGACAGTACGTTCTACTTATTCTTGGGACATGGACCTTCTGGAAGACAAGTGGCAACTGACAATCTTTTCATATTAAATATCTTGTCTCACAGAAATGCATGTTCACAGGGACACTGGAGGATCATGCCTTCCGATTGTCCTCTATGGAACTAGTAGGGCACTAAATACTCTGTGGTTTTTACTTTGGGGAATATATTTCTAATGACACAGTCCACACACTAAATGATACAACTCCACGAATAACCATACATAGCCCTATGGTGCAAACGTCATTCAAGTCAAGAAAATGAACAGAGGGCATGGGGTCAGCTCAGTGGTAGAATAGGGCTAGTTTGGTATGTACAAGGCCCTGGGTTCTATTCCTAATACTGCAAAATATTTTAATATTCTCTTTTGTTGCATTATATGTGTGTGTGTGGATAGATAGATATAGATTTTTTTGTTGTATTATAGATAATACATGGTTAAATAACCATGCCCAAGATTACCAAGCAAGATTCATACTTAATGTGTCTGACTCCAGAGATGCTGAGGTCAGCAATTATGTCATGTTCTTTTTAAGAGAATGGCAAGAACCCATGATGGACAGATGTATGGCTGGGTGAGCAGACAGGGACTCAATGAATCTGGGTCTAAAAGGAACCTGAAAACAATGGAAAATGGTCGTGTGAGCTTGATTTAAATGCCTCTTGCCTTCTGAAAACTGTCTGGAAGGCAAACTCACACCTCCGGCCAGTACAAAATGTGTATGCTGTCTATCATTCAAGCTTTCTCATGACCTTCAACCCCACTGCTACGATTATACGATGACTGTTGTGACACATGTCAGCCTCGGTCACTTTAGCATGGCTATCTCTTGTTTTCCACGTGGTTAACTTTCCCAAAGGCTCTACTTCATCTAAGACTTCCATGAGAGATACTCTGCTTCAACTGCTCCATGCTAATCCCTGTGGCAGATAAGGGTCTTGGAGAAACCACAGGTCCCATAGTTCTCAGGACCTGACCTCAAACCTAAAGCCACCAACCAGCTGTGGCTTTCTTGTGCCTTCTGTTACATTACTGACTTACTGAGTCCCATCTGTCCATCAAATATACAACGCCCCGGGTATGTGAGGCAAAGCCCCCACCCTCATGGTGTTCCTAGCTTTATCAAAGGGTTAATACTAGACAATTAAAAAAATGAAAAAGGAAGAGAAAAATCTCAGAGCCTTTGAGTGAGGCTCAGCATCAGGTTGCTTGCTGCCATGGAAATTCCCGGTTCTTACTGTTTCTACTCATGACTGGGAAGCAGACACATCATTCAAAATGATGTCCCGGGAAAGCCAGGATTCAGCTGAGTTTATTTCATATCTGACCATCTGAACGTGACTGACTGCCAAACCAAGGCAAGGAAATGGTTGTTCCCTGGAAGCTCACCCATCAGATCTTGAGAAAACCACCCAGTTTGGACTGTGTTCCTCTTTTGTTCCCCTGTCTACCACCCACGTGTGCAACTAGATGTTAAAGAACTCTAATAAAAGTGTGACTAATTAGACTGATGAATGCAAAGGCCAACTATTGCTTTTCTCTATTAATAGACGCATAATCCACAAGCTCCTGTTGACGGAGATCCCTCTCGGCCCACCTTATTACCTACAGACTCCCCAGACACTCACCCAGATAAGTATACCGTCTGTTCACAATTGCTTCATCATTCAGCTTAAAATATGTGTTGTCTGTGAGATTCAGCACCTTGAGTGTCCCAGCCCAATAAAATGAGCCTGGGGCACCCATGACCACCAGCTCCTAGAGAAAGAAATCCAAAGGGGAACAGAGAGGATTAGGTGAAACATTGAGAGCCGTAGGCACAGCAAAGAAATTCAAGATGCCTCATTATGACAGCACATATGGTACCAGGTCCTGAGAAATCTGGACTCTATAATGTTGCTAGGATTTTCAGGCCTAAAATGACTAAATGACTATAAAATGACTAAAGCAAGGAGAGAGAACGAGAGACAGACCAAGTCCCTGTTTTGGCCACTGAAGCAGCTGCATGGACTCCCACTCCCACCCCAGGCTGCACCCTAACATAAAACACAGAACAGTAAGCAATTGATGCTGTTCCTAAGTCACATGACTCCAGAGAACAGTGCTTGAGAACACAGCAACATCCACCTTACCACGGTGGTGCACTCCTATGATCCCAGCAGGAGTTCAGGGCTAGCCTTAGCTATATAGCGAGTTCAAAGCTAACCTGAGTTGCATGGGACATTGTCCCAATACAAATATTGGCCAGGAAAATGACTCAGTTGGTAAAAGGGGTTTTGTAAAAGCCTGACCACCCAAGTTCCATCCCCAAAATCCAAGGTGGAAGGAGAGAACTGACTCCTGAAAGTTGTCTTCCATCAGGGAACATGTACTGTGGCAGGCACACCTGCATACATGTACACAAACATCAAGTGTGTCCATACATGTATACAATGATAAATAAGTAAAATTTTAAATATGAAAAGAAGGTCAGAATGATAGAGAAAGAAACAACAAAAACAAATTTCATCAGAAAAAAATAACAATGAAACCTAATGCTTTTATACGTTAGTAATTTTTAAAAAAAAAATACAGCATGCACACACATGGTACACATTCACATATGTAGACACTCAAGTAAGTCTTTAAAAAAGAAAATAAATATATAAAATAAATAAAAACTATAACAAAAGACACAAGGCACCGAGAGGCTGTCTTGGGGTATACAAGTTTTTATTGAGATTATAAAATTTTGAGTGACATATCTAGATGAATACACAGACACAGACCAGGAGGCTGAGTCTCCATGTGTTTCTGACCCCTTCTTCACTGGGCTGTAGAACTATGGGAAGCCATTTTCTCTTCTCTCTATCTCATCCTCTCTCCTTTCCTCCTTTATGAGACTAGATCATTTCTGTGCACACCAGGAAAACATGGCATGATGCACAATTGCTCAACCTTTATCCTGGTTTCTTGGCCCGGGGAGTGGCACTATTTGGAGGTGTGGCCTTGTTGGAGTACATGTATCACGTGGATGTGGACTTTAAGACTGTCCTCCTAGCTGCCAGTGGAAGTTAGTCTTCTAGCAGCCTTCAGATCAAAACGTAGAACTCTCAACTCCTCCTGCACCATGCCTGCCTGTATGTTCCCACCTTGATAATAATGGACTGAACCTCTGAACCTTTAAGCCAGCCCCAATTAAATGGTCCTTATAAGAGTTGACTTGGTCATGTGTTTGTTGACAACAGTAAAACCCTAACTAAGACACCCATCCACTTACTCCCCTCACACTGGTGTAAGAACACTGCCAGTTCTCAGAGGGTGTTTAAAAGATAAACCATGAGTTCCTTAGAGGAGAGAGACTATTTTCTGGCTTGGAACTTTAAAAGAAATTGTAATCAATGCCCAAGCACAGAGGGCACCGAGGAGCGTGAGTGATTGATAGCCTTAGGACCAGTTGTATACACAATTCTCTTCATCTGCGGCTTGTTCTAGACCAAGACTCTGAGCAGCAGCAGGAGTTTGCAAAGTCTCTGCAGGACCCTGGATGAGGGACGGGATGTTTTCCTATGATTTGCATTCATCCAGAAGAAAAACTAAGTAGATACCTACTATCTCCTGTTACCTCTTAAGTGTTACAAAGTACATAAACAAAGTAATCGTATAGACAAAGTAGTCTCATTCCTTAAACACCTTAAAGGGGGGTTGGAGAGCCAGCTCCTAAGCATGAGGACCTGAATCCAAACCCCAACACCAGGTATGGAGGCATGCACCTATAATGACAGCAATGGGGACAACGAGAAAGGCCAGCTTCACTAGTTAGCCAGCCTAATTGACAAATTTCAGGTCTTTCATTGAGAGACCCTGACTCAAAAAAATAAGGTAAACAGCTCCCAAGGAACAACTGCACATGAAGCTGACTTTTGACCTCCATAGATACATGCACATATGTGTATTACGTATACTTAGCACATGTGTATACATGCGAATAAAAACAATAACATTTTAAAAATTAAAACACAAAGACAAAGTTCCTGTTCTTCTCCTTCTTCTTTTAGTTATCATACAGTCTCGTCTCCGTCCAAGCTGGCAAGCTCAGCCAAAGCTGTGACCCTCCCTCCCACTGTACTCAAGAGAGATGCTGCCTTCCTGGAAGCCCTTGGGTTTGGATTTTTCTATTCATTGCGGCTGGAGGCTGGATTCTTTTCCGTACCATTCTCAAATATCGGGAAAGTGTGATCATTTCTGAACACTGCCATGCATGAAACAGCCAGTGTTCCACACAAATACACACAAGTAAAAGTCGTCATTGCCTAAATCCAGTCCTCAATAAACACTGTGGGCCTTTCTCCAGTTTCCTTTGTGGTACAGTGTCACCTAAATGTGCCTGAAATGTGCCTTTATCTGCCTGCCACCATATATTATTAAATCTGAACCAAGACATCTCTCCCTGACATCTACATGGTGGGTCAGGCCATGTCTTCTCTAGACTCCTGGAGTATATCACCTCTGCCATTCTAGTCTACAAAGTGGTTAAAGTAGGCCTTCATCCTCAAGGACACGAGGCATTCCTAACTTGGAGAAGATTGATGGATCCTGAGGGCACTGACCACAGATCAAGCAGACATCTTGGGTGGGAATGCTCTGACCCATCGTGGCCACGTCCAGCAAGCTACAGCTCACAGCAGCCGGGTGTGAAGGTCAGCTGGAGGGCAGAGGAGGGGAACCAGCCTGCCTGACCCTTTCAACTACATTTCCTGTTCAGTTGCCGACAGCTGAAGTTCCAGAAATGAGGGAGGCAGAGAGTTCAAAGAACTGCCATTTACATGGGCCAAAGCCTGGGAACCAAAGCTAAGGCCAAGACCCAGGCAAGTGAGGAGACAATGGCTAGGGCTGGAGAGCTATGCGGTAGAAGGAGGGGTCTTCCCACTCAGCTATCCGTCCTCTCCTGTGCTCAGAACACTCTGTTCCTATTTGTCTGCAGAGCCCAGGAGACCCATGACAAAACGCTGAGGTTTTCTTGGTCTCCATGTCCCTGTCCCCTCCTTCTGGTCCTCCTTAGCTTATATCGCTGCCCAGGTTGCTCCTACACACCCCTGCCCTCTCTGCCCTTTGCAATTCCCCTTCTAACTGTCTCTAATGTCCCACCCTCTCCAACTTACCAGCTGACGGGACCAAAAAGATACCTCCCCAACATGAATCCTTGTCCTTCAGTTCCTGGTCAAGTGCTTGATGAGTTCAGATTTCTGCCATGAATAAGCCCTGACCTCTATCCTAAAGGGAAATATCTCCACATTGCCCCAAACTGAGTCATTCAAGGCCTAACTCTGCCCAAGGCCAGACTCTGCCCAAAAGTATTCTTGAAGCAGCTCTTTGAGTAGCCCAGTACCTCATATTCATGACCAAAACCAGGATATATACCAAAACTCAGTTGTTGAACACCCTTGGATGCTACTGTAGAAGGCCAGAGAGATAGGAGGCTTGGGTAAAGACAGAGTATAGATTTCATCAAAAACAGATAGAAAGACACTGGATATCTGAGCAAGCAGAACCATGATGCTTTCTCTGCCTACAGGAGGTAGCTCTGAGGCACTCCTGTTGGGAGGCCAGCCTGGGGAAAGATGACAAGGGATCTAGGGTAGGGAGGGAAGATACAGAGAGAAAATAGGTCTCACTGATGGACTGTAGACTTGTGGGATCAGAGAGAAGGATGTAGGAGGAGATTTTCATCTTAACTTCAACAGCTACGATAAACGGTGGTGCCAATCCCAGAACCCAATATGGAATTCTACATAGACCAGGCAGGTCCATCCTTTTGACATTGCAACAGGACTTGGCATCCACATTTAACAACTGTGCAAATGTGATAAATACATAGCAAAAGTAAATTTTATAATGTTTTAAATGCATGTGTATTTTGTATTGGGCCAAATCCATGGAGATCCTGGGGCACATGTTGAACGTCGCTCGTAGAGAGAGTTGGAAAAGGCACTGGTATGAACGGGTGTGGCAAGCTACTAAAGGCAGGGTTGGAAGCAAAGTACCTGGCATTCACTAGCTTGAGAATGCAGCTGGTGAAATTCTGTCATTTCTTGGTTGCCTTTAGACTAGACACTGTATCACCTACTGCCTTCTCTTTGACTTTAGAGAGCTGCCTCTGAAGACAAGGTGAACAATTCCACTCCTGATACTGTGAAGACGTTCTTCAGAAAGAAAGCCCTGGGGCCAGAGAGTGCTCCCTTTCTTGCCCCCTCAATGTGGTGCATGGTCCTCCAGGAAAAAAAGGCACAGGGCCCTGCGAGAGTCAGGCCCTGGGCAGTGATGTTGAATGTGAGCTTCTGTCTTCCAGGTAATAGGAGGCCATGAGGTCAGAATGTCAGGTTTCACTTTGCAAAATCCCTCAGGCTGATGGGCAGAAACATATGGTACCACTCAAGCAAGGACCCAGGCTGGAGTGAAAAAAAAAACTCCTCAGTAGTGACAGCTACATGACACTGCAAATTCATTAAAGGCCACTGGCTTTAAAATGGTTAAATGGGAGAATGTATATTATATATATTTGATAGTGACAAAAACAAACAAATAAGAAAATAAACAACAGGGACTAGAAAGATGACTCAGCAGTTAAGAGTGCTGAAAAGATGACTCAGCAGTTAAGAATGCTTGCTGCTCACCAGCCTTCAGTTCGTAGTTCAAGACCAACTCTAACTCCGGCTCCAGGGGATCTGATGCCCTCTTCTGGCCCCTGTGGACACTGCACTCACTTGCATACACACACACACACACACACACACACACACACACATATATATATGTGTAACCTTTTCTAAAAGATTTAAGAATCATGGGAGGCAATTCAGGGTCAGTGAGTCTGCAGGTCATGCTGGTGGCTTTTCTAGAACCATCATGGCCACCACCAGGTAAGGCGGTGATACAAAAATAGCAGTCATCTGGGATGTGTTTTAGGGGTTAAACAGGACTTAGGTGAGCTTAGAATGCAAAGGCATGTTCCATCTTAGACCTGAACAAATGCATGAACGGTGCTGCTGCTTGCAAAGCCAAGCGTGGAAAGGCATGTGGCTTGAAGCAGTAAAAATGTACAAGCTTACAGAAGATGAGCATCAAATAAGAAAAAAATACCCCGAGGACTGAGATGGCTCAGTGTCCAAGTAGACACTTGGCTCAAAGCTTGAAGACCTGAGGTTGATCCTGGAACACATATGGTAGAAGGAGAGAACCAACTCCTGGAAGTTGCCCTTTGACCTCCACACATGAGCCATGATATGTTTGCCCATACACATGTGTGCATACAAAAAATAAGGAAATGTATTTTTAATAGTGAAAACAGTGCCTAAAAAATGTCCTAGTTGTAAAAAATCATTCTGCTCCTGTCACCTGAGCACATTCCAGAGTAGAGGCTTTCGGGATTCCAGGACTGCAAAGCCTGATGTGTATAAAACTGAGACTCTCAGCTAAGGACGTGGATGGGGTGTGAGGAGACACCCAGGTTACTGACATATCTTCAAACTGCTATCAGCTTCTTCCACAGATCTCGGATGGAGCCAGCTTCTGTAGACATCTCCCCCATGAGCTAGCCCAGTCCCCCACCCAGTGGTGTCCACTCAGCTGGTGCCCTTCATCAGGTTTAAATAATGTCCCCTGCTAGAAACAGCAGAATCTACTCACTCAGGACACTGTGGAGATTCTGTGTAGACTCTGGGTAGACACTGTGTAAATTCACACCATAATCTACACTACCCAGGACACCAGAAATCCCATCCCCAGGGGCCACCTCAACCACAAAATGGGAAGGACCAAATGTCAAGAAGGGAAGAGAAATAAAAGCCACATGGCTACCACCCACCTCAGTGAAGAAGCCTGCTATGCCAGCCTGACAGGAGCCATGTTCCTCTCCATACTTCTTCTTATACTCTGGAGGAAGGGAAAGAAAAGCAGACCACAGCCATGTCAGTATGTGTCAGGCATGTGCCGATCTGGCCACTTCCCCCATGCTCTTTGGGCTCACCCCAGGAATATGGTCCAGGCTGAGGCACAGGAAGAAAGTCTTAGAACTCCAAGACTCCAAAATGGAGGCTCTGAAGCCATCAGGTGGCCAGGCTGCCAAGTGCCCCAGAGGATTACCTCCATTCATGAGGAGAAAGGGGAGTGACAGCCACAGTCATTCACCAGGAGGCTGGTGACAATTATTCCATTGACTTCAGAGAGGACTAAGGTCCCTAGAGGGCCCAGGGAGTTAAAAACAGGATTTAGAAATGGAAGACTGTGGACATTCCCATGTGGAGTCCCCTGGAAGGAGGCCAACCCTCCCAGAGAGTCACTCGGCACAGTCTCTGGCAATGTTTTCTCCTGAGCAACCAGAAGCAAGCAATCCACCTGTGGGCTGAGGAAGAGAGGGCTGGCCCCAGCACATAGTCACACTCTTGAGATGTGTGGTGCTAGTGTGTACTAGGCCTCATCTGCCTCGTGTGCAAGAAACACAGAGAGCTCCAGGGGCTAGAAGGAGACTGAGCCAGGCCTGGGGAATTAGCTGAATTGTGGAAGCCTATGCTCAGTCCCCAGAAACCATGTTTCCAAAAAAGCACACCTGTAATCCCAGCGCTAGAGAGGCGGACACAGGATGACCCCTGCTGCCTGCATGATGAGATTCAAGCCAGTGAGAGGCCTGTCTCAAAAATCAAGACAGGTGGCAAGTGAGGTTGACTTCCGCCATCCATGTACAGGACCGCATACATGTGCACTCTAACACACATAAAGAGTACCAATTCTCAGAGAGGTAAAGTGAGTTACCAAGGGTCACACAGCTACTTAACACATGTACGTTTATCTCTGTGGCCTAATGAAGGTTTTGCAAAGTGATTTTGCAGGATCAAGAGGTTGACTGACTGAAGTCATCTCGGGGGTGAGGAGGAGGAGGTAAAGACACAAGAGGGCCCTCGAGTTTTTCCGATGGTGTGGCAATAATATAGCTGGAGACTCTCGGGCTGGGGCTGCCCAGTAAATAACCTTGTGACCCCTTGCATTGTCCCCAAGGCTCTTAGCGAGTCTCTAGTACCATTAAAGGTAATGGAATTATGTTTTGAAAGACACTAAATAAATAATACGGAGGAACAAGGAAGCCGTGATTGCAACAGGACTCTGCTTCCTGAAGCTCCAAGTGTGCACTCCAGGCGGAAGGGAAAAAAGACTCTGGGGAAATAGAGGGAGAAATTCGGTTTCCAACCACACACCACAGAGCCGGGAATGTTTTCCAGTAAGTGGCCATTAATCTAGGCTAAATTACAACAGAATGTTAATTGAGTTACACCTCTCCTCTGTGAGGCTAACATCCGTTCTTCCCACCTTGTCCTGTCTGGTCACTGTATGGAAGACTCCCTGGCTGCCAGAAGCAGCCCAGAATCTTACAGTGAGGGCTGAGGGTGGAGGATATGGCCAAAATATATTACATCCTCCATCAATTGTAGGACATGAAAATGGTACAAAGGGAAGCTAAATCTTGCCTCAAATAGCACAGTGTGGGACTAGAGAGATGGCTCAGCAGTTAAGGACACCTGCCATCCTTCCAGAAGATCTGAGTTTAATTCCCAGCATCCATGTTGGGCAGCCCACAACTACCTTCCAGGGGATTGTACACCTTCCTCTGTCACCTGCACATATGTGAGTACACACACACACACACATTCACAAATAAAAGAAGTCTTTTTAAAAATAGAACAATAGAAAAATAGTCGAAATGTCCATCTTAAACAGTTAGGTATAAAGCTTGGAGTGTCGAGTAAATGGGTTTTATTTTCACCCTACAGACTCTAAAGCTAAATAAGCCACCATAAGTCTTGCACATATGTACATGTGTGTTCCTCTTCGGATCTGGTGTTTGGATGCAAGTTAACACACAGGTGCTTGTGTGAGAAAGTGTATGAAGGGCAGTGCACAACCTTGGGTACTACTCTTCCAGAGCCATCCACCTTTGAGGCGTGACTTCTCACTGAACCTCAAGATCACTGCCTATGCTAGGCTGGTCTGCCAGTGATTCTGAGATTCATAGTCACCACCTCCCTGGTGCTGAGATGACAAGCTTAAACCACCACACCTTTCTGGGGATAGAACTTGGGTTCTCGTGCTTGCAGGCTAGGCATTTTACAGACTAAGCTTCTCCTCAGGCACTGTAACTCTAACACATGGAGACATTCGAAAAGACTCAGACATTAAGAGCCCAATGAGGCCATCTTGCCTGACACTGTTCAGCCTTTGACACAATAGCAATTATGTGCAAATGTTATACTTTTCAAAGCACTTGGACTCTCTCTATGGCTGAGACTCTAAAGACAGTTTGCATAGATACAACACTATTTCTCCATCAACACCTTACAAATTATGGGATGTTCCCTACGCCGAGAGCCAAGATTTCTAAGACAGCCTCATCCTGGCCCAGGCTAATGTCCTACAGGGGGACGTTGTCATTAGCACTCCAGTTTCAGGTAGCAGGGGGCACTGTTTGGAGACCAGCCACCATTTCTCCAAGCTGGCACTGTTCTACTCTAGGGCTAGGGGGTGTGAGACATACCAGCAATGGTTTAGACATTTGTAAAGTTACTAGGTCTGGATGCGCCTTCTCTGGAAGCTCCAGAGTAAGGGCAAATGTGGGGCCTTGTCTGGACCCTACTCCCCAGAAATCCCTACTAAAGGACAGGCCACATCCCAGTCTCCCAGAAAGTGCAATGATTTTGTCATGAACTCTTTCAACATGAAGCAAGACTGTGTCCTGCCTTGACCACACACACCCAAGGACAATGGGGCCTGGCTACTCTCTTCTAGGAAGTCTCAGCTTCCTGGATGTCCTAGGAATCCACAGCCTTTCAGATGCCACCTTGTCTTCTCTGCCCAGGTGACCTTACAGGTACATGTAATGATACATGAATGATACACTTCCCATCACAAAGATGAGTTTATTTGACTAAACGTCCTGTAGACCAGGCTGGTATCATTTACTCGACTACTTGACTGCTCTGTTGCCGGGTCACACACTCACACTGGACTAGAGACCCAGGTAGAAGTGCACAAGGATCATGCATGGGTGGCTTTCCTACCACCAACCTCCTGAACTCTGAATCTGTCTGCACCCCGTGGCCTTCTCGTTTACCCTTCCCACCTCCAGCCAGTCAGGTTCCCTGAATGCTATTCAGCACTACTTGAAAAGGCTTTGTGCTCTGAGTACTGAGAAGCATGGATTCCAGAGCCAATGCTACCACTAACACCAAGAGCTTAGGACATACAAGGGTGATGAGGGGGAAGACCCACAGCACAGATTCTTCTGGGCTTTCCACACTGACTCTACCCTGGGCAACTCTGTGCTCTCTATAGACTTTAGGAGAAGCAGGGCAGATCATGCATCTCTTCAGTCCACGTCACTCCTACTATGACTGACACTGACTATCTCTGAGGACCTGAGAGCAGTCACATAGCACACAGGAGACAGCTGGTTCCCAAGGCTTCAGCAATGGGAAGTCACCGTGCCTGTGCTCACGGCCACTGAGCAAAGCAAAGTCTTCTGAAGCAGAGTGAGCAGCTTTACTGAGGACCCTTGGCATCCATTTGTCTCTGGACATAGCAGCATCAAGTCATGGGGGCTTGAACCTCCACTACTAAGCCCAGAGACCCCACTCCTTTTCAGTAAAATGAAACAAGACACAACATCATGGGGGCTGGGCATGTAGTTCTTCTGGAAGAGTGCTTATGCGCATGCTAAAGGTCTGGGTTCCTCGTGAGCTGGGCAAGGTGGCACGTCTGAAACCCTAGCATTCAGGTGGTAGAGGCAGGAGGATCAAAAGTTCAAGCTCATTATAGCCAACTGTGTCAATACTAAACAAACTCAGAGACAATACTTTACATATGCTAAGGGTCTAGTATATAGAGAGTTATGCTAATATAACCAAATACTTAAAATCTTCTCTCAGTTAAAAACTTAAACGATTCATTCTACTTCTCTAGACTTGAGTTGGAGGAATGCCCTGTGCACAAAGCTATGGAAGAGGGCTGGGTACAGCCAGGGACAAAGGGCTGACCCCAGTAGAGCTGAGCCTAAGAAATATGAGTCACACCCCTGTCTCCATTGAGCAGTCCAGGAAGCACAGGGTGGAGGGACCCAGGAGGAGCTGGAGATGACCTTCAACTTCCTATGTTCCCAGGAAGACGATTTCTACACAAATACAAAGGCAGTGGGGCCAGGTGACCTTGGGCTCACTCACTTAGTCTCCAGTCATCCCCACAGACATAGCCACAACAGAGAGGACAGCAAAGTACTAGAGCCCTCTGTAACAGGATAGAACATTTATCTACCTCAATGACTCAGGAGAAACAGACTCTTCAACAGTGGCTTGCCTTCTCTGGAATATGCCTAGCTGCTTGACCCAGGGGAAACTGAGGCCACTAAGCAAAGATGGGGCTAAGCAAGAGGACCTGGAAGCAGTGTGGAGACCTCTATTATGTGGGTGGGTTTGATATGCATGGCTAGATGAAGAGAAACAAGTCTTCCAATACCCACAGTCTACCCTGCAGCTAGTGAATTGTAATTAACATTAAAAAGCTATTGAACTGGATGCTAAGGGTAAACTCTTAGACAGACGTAGATCAGTGGTGCATGCAGTCCTCATAAGACTTACTTTCAGCTACACGTTGGAGAAAGTGTGAGTTTCCAAAGCCAGTTAATTTCCTCTCTCTCTCTCTCTCTCTCTCTCTCTCTCTCTCTCTCTCTCTCTC